ACAAAAGATCAAAGCATGATATAATCAATATTTTACAAATTTTTCAGTTGACAATATGTGAGGTCTGACAGTTAAGTTCACAAACTTGCCACCTTGGTGCGCTTACATTGGCAACATGTACAAACAATTCAAAAAGGTTTCATAAAGTTGATACATCAGTGTCTCACCCTGTTTGTATCGACATGTAGCAGAGACTTTCTGAGTGGTGTTCATTATTGTTGTCACATGTTTTTGTGTGCCATCGCAAGAATGTCAGCACTTGAATTAGAGCAACAAACAAACATTAAATTTCTTGTTGCCAGCCAGGCTCAGTGGCTCAACCTGTAATCCCGAGCTTTGGGAGGCTGAGGTGAGTGGATTGCCTGAGCCCGCGGGTTCAAGACCCGCCTGGGCAACTTGGCGAGACCTCAACTCTACAATAATCAAAAAATTAGCTGGGCGTGGTAGCGCATGCCTATAGTTCCAGCTACTTGGAAGGCTGAGGCAGAAGGATCATTGGACCCCAGCAGGTCAAGGCTGCGGTGGCTGGGAGCGGCCACTGCACTTCAGTCTGGGCGACAGAGTGAGACTCCAACAAAAAAAAAAAAAAGAAAAAAAATTTCTTGTTGCTGGGCTCGGTGGCTCAGCCTGTAATCCTAACACTTTGAGAGGCCGAGGTGAGTGGATTGCCTGAGCCCATGGGTTCAAGACTCGCCCGGGCCACTTGGCGAGACCTCATCTCAACAATAAATCAAAAAATTAGCTGGGCGTGGTAACGCACGCATGTGGTTCCGGCTACTTGGAAGGCTGAGGAGGAAGGATCGCCAGACCCCAGCAAGTCAAGGCTGTGGTGGCTGGGAGTGTGTCACTGCACTCCAGTCTGGGCGACGGAGTAAGATTCCAACTCAAAAAAAAAAAAATTCTCGTTAAACTTGGTAAGAGTGGAAGTGAAATCAGGGACATGTTACAAGTTTATGGGGATAATGTCATGAAGGAAATGGTGGTGTACAAATGGATTAAATGTTTTTCTGAGGAGAGAGAAAGTGTCACTAATGAAGAGAGATCAGGACAACCAGTAGTGAGCAGAACTGAAGAAAACATTGCAAAAAATTTGTCTAATTGCATGTCAAAATCGTCAGCTGACTGTCAGAAGTATAGAAGATCAAATCAACATCAATAAAGAAAATGTTAGGAAAATCTTAACCGAAAATCTCGGCATAAGAAAGGTGTGTGCAAAAATGATCCCAAAGGAACATTTGCATCACAACAATGTACCAGTTCACACAGCACTGTCTGTGAGGAAGTTTTTAGCCAGTAAACAAATAACCATATTGGAGCACCCTCCCTACTTACCTGATCTAGCCCCAATTACTTTTTTCCAGAGATAAAGGAAATATTGAAAGGAAGATATTTTGATGACATTCAGGACATAAAGGGTAATATGATGACAGCTCTGGTGGCCATTCCAGAAGAAGAGTTCCAAAATTGCTTTGACATGTGGACTAGGCACTGGTATCAGTGCATAGCTTCCCCAGGGGAGTACTTCAAAGGTGACCATACTGGATATTCAGCAATGAGGTATGTAGCCCTTTTTCTAGGATGAGTTTGTGAATTTAATTGTCAATGCCTGTATTGGGGGTGACTGGGCATGGTGGCTCATGCCTGTAATGCAGTACTTTAGGAGGCTGAGGCAGGAGACTTGCCTGAGCCCAGAGTTTCGAGACCAGCCTGGGCAACTTGGCAAGACTTCCTCTCAGCCAGGCATGGTGGCTCACATCTGTCATCCCAGCATTTTGGGAGGCAGAGGCAAGAGGATTGCCTGAGTTCAGGGACCAGCCTGGCAATTTGGCAGGACCTCGTCTCGACAATAAGTCAAAAAATTAGCCAGGTGTGGTGGCACATGCCTGTAGCTCCAGCTACTTGGAAGGCCGAGGTGGAAGGATTGCCTGAGCCCAGCACATCAAGGCTGCTGTGGCCGTGAGCATGCCACTGAACTCCAGCCTGGGAGCCACGGTGCGACTCTGACTCAAAGAAAAAGAAAGAAAGAAAGAAAGAAAGAAAGAAAGAAAGAAAGAAAGAAAGAAAGAAAGAAAGAAAGAAAGAAAGAAATTGCCTAACTGGATTTGGGCTTTTTAAAGAATGTTGTGTTAGGCTGGGCGCAGTGTCTCAAGCCTATAATCCTAGCACTTTGGGAGGCCAAGGCAAGAGGACTGCCTAAGCTCAGGGGTTTGAGATGAGTATGGGCAACTTGGTGAGACCTCGTCTCTACAATAAATAAAAAAATAAGCCGGGTGTGGTGGTGTGCGCCTATAGTTCCAGCTACTTAGAAGGCTAAGGCAGAAGGATTCCCTGCACCCAGCAGGTTGAGGCTGCAGTGGCTGTGAGTGTGCCACTGCACTCCAGCCTGGACAACAGGGTGAGACTCTAATTAAACAAAAAAAAAGAAAGTCATGTCTGTGTTTTGGGTCACTCCCTATTGTTTCTGTGATTTGCTATACTGGTAGAGCCACATTCCAGCCCACAAGTTGGTCTGGTCTGGTGTGCCTGGTCAGTGGTGTGAAGGTTGCATATTGATAAGTAAGATGTCTGAATGCTCACTCTGCTTTAATTTAGACCTGCCTGCAAAAAACTTATCTAAATAGCTTGCCTCAATACATATGTTCTCTGTTTTGTCTGACTTCTTTTGTTCAGCATTATGTTTACAGGATTAATTGATCTTGCTCCTATGGCTGTAGATTACTCATATTGCTGTACAGAATTTCACTATATGAATATACTACAATTTTTTATTCTTCTCTTGATGGGCATTGGGGCAGTTTCCAATTTGGTGCTATTATGAAGCGGGCTGTTGTGAGCATGCTAATACATGTCTTTTGGAGGACATATGGAACCCAGGGCTGCTGCAGTATTTTGGGATTTTTTTTTTTTTTGAGTTGGAGTCACTCTGTTGTCCAGTCTGGAGTGCAGTGGCACATTCCCGGCCACCACAGCCTTGACCTACTGTGCTCCGGCGATCCTTCCGCCTCAGCCTTCCAAGTAGCCAGAACTACAGGCGCGCACTACCATGCCCAGCCAATTTTTGATGTAGTGTAGAGACAAGGTCTCACCAAGTTGTCTGGGTGGGTCTTGGACCCGTGGACTCAGGCAATCCACTTGCCTTGACCTCCCAAAGTGTTGGGATTACAGGCTGAGTCACTGAGCCCGGCCTGCTGCAGTCTTTTGAAGGGTAGTAGCTTTTAGCACGTTGGCTCACTGTCTTCTGAGCTATGGACACTGGTATTTTATAGTGAGTCCCATAGTGGCAGTGGCAGTGACAGTGGTTTAGCACCCTTAAATGGCTTAATGATTAGAGGGCATTAAAAAGATGGAACCAAGGCCGGGTACAGTGGCACAAGCGAGTAATCCCAGCTCTTTGGGAGACTGAGGCGAGAGGACTGCCCAAGCCCAGCCATTCGAGACCAGCCTGGGCAACTCATAGTGAGACCTTGTCCCTATGAAAACTAAAAAAATTAGCCAGGATGGTGGTGTGAGCCTGCAGTCCCACCTTCCTGGGGTCTGAGGCAGGAGGATCTCCTAAGCCCGGGAGATAGAGGCTGCAGTGAGCTGTGATCATGTCACTGCACTCCAGCCTGGGTCATAGAGTGAGACTCCAATTCAAAAAAAAAAGAAAAGAGCCGGGCTCGGTGGCTCAGCCTGTAATCCCGCGCCTTTGGGAG